TTTTGTCTTGATATCTTGCTTTTATTTATCTCTTCTATTGTAATAGATTATATTCTGATTATTTATAAGTTTTTCTTATCTGAAATACTTAGATAGTGAATGCTCTCTACTTAAAATAAGCCAAGTATATTTATTTGATTTAGAAGATTTTTGTAAGCTTTCTTATATATAAAAGTTTAATCTGATATTTGTTTTCTTAGAATTAGCATTCATTATTTTAGTTTTTGAATTTGTTATATTAATATTAGTATTTGTTACCTTGATCATAAGTATTTGTTGCTTTAGTTTTTGGTACCTACTCTTAGTTTAGTATTCATGATCATAATTTTGTTTTTATATTTTTGTTTTATTTTATTTTTGTCTTGTATTAATACAATACTTGTAAGTATTGGCACTAGAAAATTGTTAGAATAATTGTTATCCCCTTAATCTTTATAAATAATTCAGTTTTCACCCTTAAAACTTATTATAAACTATATTTGTGATAAAATCTATCTTTTAGAGTATAGTTTATAATAATATATATAAGTATAATTATCTTGAATGAACTTATTATACTCTGATTGATTGGTAAAGATGGGAAGTTATATTTAGTAAAAGAAAATGCAGCTTAATATTACTTAATTCTTCTATTTCATCTTCTTCCAATTAATGTGATGAATAATTATCTACTAATAATAAGATGTTTCTTCTTCATTTTTGCATCTTCCTGTTAAATTGCTTAATTCATGTTTTAAAAATAGAATATTGTATCCATGATGTATTATTCTAGTATATTGTACAGGAAGTATTTATTTATCAATATGATGTGGACTTTTATATTTATAAATAAATAGAGAAGGTAATTTGTAAGTCTCAATCATATTATATGTAAGCATTATAGTAACTCTGTTTTTTTTCTTTTTTAATCCAGTAATAGGTCCACCAGCAAGAGATTTATGGAATTCTAATTTCCAGTAGAGACACATTTTGTCAGCATTATACATGTCTTCCAAATCATACTGTGAAATAATCAATTGAAGTTCAGTTCTAGATATAGGTAATTCATTAATCAGTGCACTTGCGACTTCTCCTAATTTATAATATTCTTTAATATTGTTTTGTTTTTTGAAATTTGTAATCCAGCCCTATTAAGGATCAAATAAATAGATATCAATAATCAATGTCAAATTGGATTACTAGATGATAGCGACCGATTATATAACAACCTGGCCCATTACTCTCAGTACGAAAAGAATTGATACTTTTGTTTGAGGATTTAAAATCAGAAATATTTAACTTCTAGAAAATTGCATTGCCTTTTGACTCAAAATCACACTGGTTATTGTATGATTAGCCTCATTGGCAAGATTTACCCAAATTGCCAACGCTTCTTCCACTGTGGCCATTCACCCCCACGATTACATTTTTTATTGGCATTTATTGAGCTTTCGGTAATGGCAAGCCATTTCTCTTTTTCTTTAATAATATCTCCTACAATTAATTTGCCAATGCCGAATTTCCTACCAATCTCTTCATACGACTTGGTTGGATTATTTCTCTTATATTTGCATAATTCTTTTTTTTTGAATATTAGTTAGTGAGGTTAATTTCTTCCCTTTTTGCTTCCAAATCTAGATATTTCTTCTACGTTCATAATTGCCGTTTGGTTGTAAATTGGAATGCGTTTTTGAAAACAATTGACTATGTCAATCTTTTTATTGTTTTCTGAACGATTAAGACAATTGTATCAATTTAGATGCTAAATAATGACGCAATTATTGGGTAATTATTTTGTTACGTTACTAAAATAAGGATTATCCGTAAAAAATCACGTGGTCCGACTTATCGAGTTTGTCTATGTATAACACAACCAATGCTAATAATGATAGTATATGATCAATACATAAAGTGTGAGATTTGATAATGCGCGCATTTCAGAAAAAGTATGTATGTTATATTAAGTATTAGGCTTGAAAGTTTCTGCTTATAGATAATATTGTATTGTAAATTCGAATTGAAATATAAGAACAACAATATTATTACAATGCTGACAATGTTATATGCTCACAGATATCATAGGTGAAGAAATAATATTTTTGGGGGTTAAGTTTGAGTGGCTTGGTCGTGGGTGGCTTTTAATGTGACTTTCTTTGCTTCGTTTCCAATGAATTAAAGATAAAAACCTCGTAGATACAATTAAATAATTATTTCTAGGACAATATTATAAAACAGGCTGTTAACAAAACAAGATAATTTTGGTAACTTGGCTAATATAGCTAAATGGCTGGCGCTCAAGATAGAAATTACCATTACCAATAACTTTACAAATTTTTAGAATTGTTGAGTAGGCCTAAATATACCTGGTATTTCTTTATATACATGGAAATGGTGACTTAACTTCAGAAATTAGATTAAATTTAAATTGAATTGAAAGTTAATAACAGAATAACTTTAAGTATCTTTAATGATAATTAAACTTGTAACAAGAATCTCTAACAAAAACGTGTATTGACAATTTTGATAGTGAAATGATATCAATCAACAATTGAAATAATACATACATGTAATAGTAGCTATAACTGAACTTAAATGGTTGAAAATGTTGAATTAAGAACTTTAGCTCTAATAAGATATCGTGTTGTTATCATTAGCGTTTTTGAAGAAACGAAAGTAGACATATACACATATACATGTACATGCAAACAGTGGGCAAATACATGTACATATATTCTTTCACACGTACCATGTGTGTGCATACAAAATCTATTTTTTATCAATGAGTTTGAGATAACTTAAATGAAGACTACATATTTATTTCCAAATATTTTTAAATCGAAGCGTTATAGTTAATTATTTTCTTATTATTATACTTTTATTTTTATTTCATTATTTTCAACACACAACGACTAGTTGAATAAAAATGTCGATATTTCTTGAGTTGACTTTGAAGAAATAAAGTAGACATCCAGATGCAAACAATAGACAAATAGGTCTTTATTTATTCTTGTCGCTTTTTGAATCGCCACCGATAAAATTTTTATTTCATGCAAAAGTACATGTAATAACATATGCTTGATAATATTTAATTCTCTCAAACTGCACTGATAACATAAATACGTGCATGTATAATAATAACTTTTATAGTGAAACCTTTTTGAGCAGCGATGTTTAGGTTACCAGTATTTACATCTACTTGTATAATATTCGTTAAAATCATAAACAACAATCACACGAACTCTTGTAGTTATAGAAAGGATATTTTTAGAGATGACATTAAAGTTTTTATTCTGGTATCTCAGTAAAAATTAATAACTTGAAAGATTGAAGAAATGTTATAAAAGCTCGCCGTTCAGTCAACTACAATTCTAAAAATTTTCTAAATAACGAAGAGTTTTCTTTTAATTGTCTCAAAATGACTTTCTTCTACAAAAAAAGTTCATTTATTGTCTTTTTGATTTTTACATTCTTGATCGTTACTACTTCTGGCGTGAGCAACGGTAAAATTTTCATATTAATAATCATTTCCATTTCATTTAGCTTATACATGTAATATTCAGCATAATAATTATTTAGAAGTACTTTATCCTGAAAAAGTAAAACCGCCAAATGCTGTGCCTATTGCAAAATTACCAAGTAAATCGCCAATATTTGCGTTTATTAATCTTTCGAAAAATTTTAATATTGATTTTTTTTAATAAAGGCGAAAAAAAAGAGAAAAATGATCATAAAAATAAGGAACCGGTAAAGGTGGATCCGATTATCAACGAATACATGACAAAAAAGTGAATTTAGAATTTTTTTTGAGCTTAAATTTGTTATTATTATAGTAAATTTCCCAAATCGATAATGTGTTAAAATTACATCGATTATACATATCGATATGCATGTAATTAAATCAATTTGAATATAAAAATAATTAGAAATGCTTGTTACTTTCTAAGTACTTAAATGTATTCTATTTTTCTCCTTTCACTATCTGATATAAATTGAATATATCAAACTTTTTTAAGTTTGTCGATTTGTAATTTATCCTATTCTAATAAATTTTATTTAATTAAATAAGAATAATCTCCCATTTATTTTTTTTATATTCTTTTCTTTTTCTTTTCTAATATCTTAAATATCTTTGTTTTTTGATAATCCAGATATTAATATCTTTTCTTCGTTATTAATAACTGTTCAAATATTGACTCTTTTTTTAATGAATTTATCTATTTTATTTCTAATTATAGTATTGATCTTTCAATAAAAAATATTTAATAATTTAATAATTAAAAATATAAATTTTTATAAGAAAACTTAATATTTATACCAATAAAATTATTAAAAGTTATCAATTTCATTGATATGTATTTTTAATAAAATATAATTTTATTACTTTCTAATGCTTGTTTATTTAGTATTAATATTGATATCAAATTCTGTAATTATATATACTGTATTAGAATTTTATATAAAAAAATGCTTTTAGATATATTAATACTGATATCATATTTTTTTGAAAATAATGAATTTAGCTTTATTTGAAATATATAAACTTAATGCTTGATAGGAAAAATAATTATTAGACTATTTACATATACATGTACATATTGATACTGTATGAACACAGAGAGAGAGAGAGAGAATACATTATTGTACACGTTGTAACAAAATTGAAATTCTCTTTACAACATTGTAATTTTTTTCATAATCCAAAATTTATTCCTCTAAAAGAATATATAATTTCAAAAATTTACAATTTCTTATTCAAATACAAGTAATTTCGAACAACAATGAGTTGCTCCATTGTTAATCAACTAGTTAAATAGAATTAACTTCCGAGTAATTCTATTGGTACGCTTGAATATTACAATTTCTGAATTCTTTGATTTTATTGACATATTGCATGTACACGTACATAATGAATGCAGACCCACAAAAAGTATTGCTCGGCTCAAAATTATATAGTAAAACATATAAAAAATGAAAATTTTCAAGCTATATACAGTACATATAATTTTTCTATAATTATTTTTTAAATTTAAAGCTTGTAAATTCTATTTCTGAAATAAAGTCATGAGGGTGACGATATGTTAAATGCAACGATCTTTTGATTGTAAGTAAAAAAAATTTTCTCACGCCTTATATACGCAAAAAATACTTTACATAGTCAATTGTAGTTTTCAAAAAAGATTCTATCCTGTGAGAGTCTAGAACTATTTTAATTATTTATACCTAAATGCAACTTGTCCGGTCCAATCTTTTGATATCGTGCATTTAGAGAACAATAAAAAAATGATTTATGGAGGTTAAGCATACATTTAGGCCAGAGTTGCGCTTGCATTTAGGGCGATATTGTATTTAGAGAAGCTGCATTTATGGAAGTCTGACTATATATGTTTTACTATATAACTTCAAACCGGGCAATACTTTGTGAGTGTCCATGAAAAGAAATACATGTGCATAGCCAATCAGAACGTTGATTATAATCGAATGGCAGCTCAAAGAGTTAAAAGATATAAATGGACAACAAATCAGAATGTTTATTTGTGTTCAAATAGCGGCCGAAAGAAAGCGCGGGTCTGATTTTTCGGTTAATGGTAATTTATTCCCTATTAAATATAAATAAAATATTTTATCGATAAACATGTATATTTCTGATTTTTGTATTTATATTAATTTATAAATTTATAGAAAATTAGCATACTTTATGAACCAACCGCTACGTGTTTGCAATAAAATTACGCATGTCGATCGAACAACATGTGACATAAAACCGTAGATTTGTGGATATCGATATAGTGTACAGAAGTAACTCTAAATTCCGTAATTCTTTAATCTTTACCGAACATGAAAATTCCGGTATAACCGACATGCAACTACATGTATATGTATATTAATGAAACCAACAATTAACGCTACTCTTTGTCTGGTTGGTGATCATATACACAACACAATCCAATAAGAATGCGCAAACTTGTAATCAGCCCGACAAACAAATCGAAAATAAACGAAAAATAAAAATTGCGAATAGAGAAAAAGGAAGTCAAAATCTGACTTGACGCTCTAATAAAAAAGACAATTTTACATGTAATCTTTATTTTATCTCTAACCCAACCCAAAAACCTTTAATAAGTTGTCGGCACACATATGATTTGCGCATTCTTATTGGTTGGTTATCATGTGATCAATAATCGAGCACAGATTCTAAGTGTACATCTTTTATCGTTATTGTCAATATTGTCCCCATTTTAGACATAACCCGGACGATCCTTGATATCTTCCGAACGATTTTTTCATAAAGTAAATAATATAGAGGTACCATGAGTTGAATTATCATGTACATGTATTTGATGTTACACTGCCACTAAGATAGATAGATAACGCAACGTGTACCGTATGATATCGTATAAACGAATTTTATTCTGACTGCTAAATTGCAGAAAATTGCATTTTATAATAATACGAACGATCATAAGATTCTGAAAGATGTGCTGTATTGTTGTTATTACCACTGAACGTACACTTTGAATACATACTAAATCATTATATAAAACGATAAAATTCATCAAGTTTGCCTTCTTTAAATTTCTCTGAATTCCCATTCCCAAAAACAAATTTAGATAGTTTTTGTAACTTACAAATAAAATTTAATGATGAATTAACAAACTCTCTTAAATTTATCTTTGATCATTTGCTCACTCTACTCTCTTTCTTGTTGGCAGATAAGGATACTCCTAAAATTTGCACATTATTGCAACTGCTCCGACAGTACCCAGCACTCAGATCTTTAGCCCCTGTACACCCACTGCAACTTCACGCAATAACAAGGTTGACAATAATGACGAGAATAAATGTCACGATCACAAAACAACAACTGTTACCATTATTACACCTGTATTCTGACGGTGGATCATGTGATCTATATAATCCTGGTGCACGTTACGGCCATGATCACCATCCGAACCAGTTACATGTGTTCCACAAACAACTATATGACAAAATTTTCTGTTATTTTATTCAAATAAATATATAAAATACGAAAATATTAATAAATTTTAATAAATACATGTACCTTGTAAAGTCATAGTTCCCAATTTTTAAAAAATCGATTTATCAAGTTTCTCTCTTTTTTAATAATAAACATCATGTTTACTTACTACAACTTCGTCAATAATTTCGTTAGGTTAAAATGACGTTCATCTATAAACAGCTTGACGAATTGAAAAAGGGAGGATTTTGGAAACCAAAAATGCCGTTCAAATCGCAAGAATGTTTGGACGTGATCCCACAACGGCACGTCGCTTTATTAACAAACGAAAACTTACCATGTTCAGAAGACCACTAGTACTTAACAATCACGAAAAGAATTTACTTATACATAAAACAAACAAAAAGGGAACACCGCTACGTGAAATAATCAACAATTTGAACTTCACTTACGTATCGTAGATACATGCATGTGCTCATATTAAAGGATGTGAAGTAAATAAAAATACAGCTAATGATTGGGAAAAATAATTTAACCGGTTTTAAAGTTGGAAAGCAGTCATGGCAGCCAAAAGTTTGGCGGCATCATGGAAAAAAATTTAATATTGATTGCTTGGGCTCCTACCTTTAAAAGTGGGCGAAAGTCTATAATAGTGTGGGATATTTCGCAGAAAATTAAAAAGGATCATTGATTTTTTGTGATGAATATATAAAAATGGCGAGAAAAATAACTGCAAATATTTAACTTGAAATCTTAAAAACTCAATTATTTCCATTCCAGAACACAGTTAAGGAATTAACTGGATGTTACACAATTTTTCAACAAGACAATGCGCTGGATTATTAATTGGCCGGCGAATTCTCCAGACCCAATAACGAATATTTGGAAGATATTACAAGAAAATGAGTTTTTTCCGAAGATCGTTGATGGACTTAAAGTCGAGTTGAAGATGGCGTGGAAAAAAAATTGTTGTGGCCATCTTAGAACGGGTTATTACATCAATGCCATGAAGGATTAATGCATGGAGGGCCGATTTATTAAATAAACTTTGTTTTTATTTGATACATAAATTGACGAAAATTGAATAACTTGAATAAGAATAAAGATTATTATTTTTCTTTTTTAATTTGCATCGGATGATACTTTTTGGGGATACATATAATGTTACTCTACTATCGCTATAGTTAGCTTCTAATTTCATAATTTCGCGTAGTTTATACATGTACGTGTATTATCGTGTAGCGCTTACTACAGTACCCTTAGTAAAATATCCCCCGGGTACTATTTAAGTTAGTCTGGGATTTCTTGAAAAAGACCGTGGTACTGTAGTAAGCGCTCTACGGTAGATTTCGTTGATCGCATAATTTAATATTTGACATTTATTTTGACTACACGTATTAACGTTTGTCCGAAATTCCCCGCATAACTTAATATCGATATCATTTTAGCTTTGCATCATTTAATATTTATTTTAACATATATTTTTATCTCTGCTTCGTTTGATATTTATTTAAAATTTATTTTTATTTTTTTTTAGTATGATTTAACATTGTCAAAAGTTAAACTTAATGTCTGCCATAGTAAGCTCACAATAATTAGAATAGTCCTAAAATTGTATAAAAAGAAAAGTTTAGTACTATCAGCAACATACTTAATCAAAATAAAAATTTTTGTAAACTTACCTTTACTTTTTACTTAATTTCCACTGAATAACTTCAAATATTGTCTTCTGTACTAGTAGAGGAGCTTCACTATAAACAAATTGTGCTTAAATTTGTATATTATATTGTTGGCAAAAATAAGTCCAACCTTT